AGATTTTATAGGTGATGGCATGACCAAAGTCTGCAGCACATCAAACACGCAGACGAGTAGTTGACAAACATCTTCTCATCCATCAAATTCCCTTCTTAAATCTCTGTCCTTATCTTGCCTCTGCTGGGCCCGGGGCTGCGGTTGTGTTCTGCCTTTGATGAGATCTGTGTTTGACAACAGAAGAGTCTGCTGCTCCCTAATGTGACACCGCATATTCTCCACCACTGTGAAGGATATACAACCACAGGACAGCGCATCAACATAGAGAGTGATGGGGAGGGTGAGAGGGAGAAAGAAAGATAACTGGTGCATAATGCCTGGAGCAAACACCATTTCCTCACACCATCTCTGCTGTAATAAATGTGCAAATCAAGACAAAGAACCAATATTTGCCTGTGTTCTTCACTTACAGCCTATGATCCTATTTGGCTTCCTGATGTACTCGTTACATCATAAGAAGAATGGCATCTACGCTAACTTTAGTGTCTTTGTTTATCCCGAGGTTTTCCCGCAGCCTGCCGGATCCAGGCCGTATCCAGATCTGACGAAGGAGCTTCGCCTGGACCCGATGACAATGCAGTGCTGAAGTGTCAACTATCCTCTCCCTATGGAGGATCCCTTTCCCACTCTACAGATAAAGCGTTGTTGAAAATCCGGTTCGCGTACCCCGAAGTGATAAAATAAAACAAAATTCTTTATCAAATGTATAGGCAAGACAAGTAGTTTGTTTAGCCATGGTCTGTAGGGAAATTACAAACCTGCGCACATATATTCAAACGAATATAACTATAGAATCAATTTTTAATGCGCATGTGAACGCCATCAGGTCACAGGTTCGCGTTTAAAGTCTGTTTAGAGAGAACGCCGTCGTCTTAGTGGCCCCTAATGTAATAACAAATGATAATTTTGCTGGAAGTGAATCAATCAAAACTAACTTTAGCTGGAAATAACATTATTCAAAAATCACTATAAAGCCAAAACAATCTCTGTTACCGTAAATTGTATGTTTATCTCTGTAAAGCTGCTTTGAAACAATCTCCATTGTTAAAAGCGCTATATAAATGAAGATGACTTGACTTGAAAAAAAAATGCTAAGATAGAAAACCTCCGTCAGGATTGTGTTTAAAGAAACCTACTGATTTAGTACAGAAACTGGGCTGTCAAACACACCGTAATTGAACCATCTCAGAAAAGACTGCCAAAATGTCAGAGTATCTGTAGGAGCAAAAGGAGAAAAAATGATATTTGATTTTTGCACAAAAATCTGCATTTGTCTTTTAAAGATAAGAAGAAACACGCTGTCTAGATGCACTAGAAAATTACTGTTAGACATGAGACCTGAAATAAGTCTACAAAATTGCTGGCTTGCCGGTGAGTTACCTGGAAAAAGTTATGAGGGTCTTAACCACAGAAGGAAAAAAAATCTATAAAAATACATATTCCAGGAAGCATTTAGAAAGAGTTATTCAAAAAAGTTTTTGAGCCAGTCACTTTTTATGACCATAAAGGAACAACTGCTTCTTTCTGGTCTTCACATACAACGTCATATATCGAATGCCTTTAGTTAAACTATACAATAATAAATAAAATTAAAATAAAATAATACTGAAATATAAAAATTAAAATTACTTTTAAAAATTAGTATTAGGTTACAGTGCCTTAGAACTACATAAAGATTCTGTACTGAAGACCCTTTATTTTAAGACATAAGTGTATAAGAAAAAAAATATCAAATTAAAAAAACATTGCCCCAAAAAATAATATAAGAAATTATATTTTTTCTCCATTGCAGATGCGGGTTTATTAAACAGCATGTGGGTACATTTTTGCAAAATATTGCATTGCTTGTAACACGTTTCAAGGCAGTTGAAATGTCCAAAGTGAAACGTGTAAAAGAGAATAAAATCTTTATTAATCAGTAATCTGCCCCGTAATTGTAATTTTTGTTAAAAAATAATTTAAGTTGTTGGTGTTTTACTGCCTCTAGTATTAATTTCAGCTGGAAACTGCAGTGAATTGTATGCATATGTATGTTTTGCAGAAGAGTCATGTAAAGTTTATTTATATAGCACCTTTCACAGAAGTATTTCATGACAACAATACAAGTATTTCCGATGATCCTGGGTTGAATATAACTGTGCTACTAACTACTTTTGAATGGCTGTCAATTAAAAAGAGTTTGCCATCATGGTACAGCATGTACCAAACTACTGTTCTCTGCCATCATGAAATAACACTGCCAAGAGATGCAGGGGTGAGAGGAGCTGAGGAACATGGGAGGGGGACTGAGAAAGAGATGAAAGAAAATGATAAAAGAAAAAACAAGAGGATCAAAAGACAGTGGAAGAGAGGACAGAGGGACAGCAGAGTAAACATCATCCATCACTGCATAGGGGTTCTGCTAGAGCCGGCTGACAGGAGAGAGAGCGAGAGCGAGAGAGTGAGAGAGAGAGAGAGAGAGAGAGAGAGAGAGAGAGAGGATGTGGTCTTGCACAGGAGAGATAACCTCCAGAGCTGATAAAGTACAGAGTCCTCGTTTCTTCAGATCAAATTCTCTTCTCGAGAAACACCAGCTGGACATCAGTCCAGTACACAACTCTCTTTACTCCTGACTCGCTTTCATTCCCTCTACCCTCAGCGGCTTTCTCCATCATGTCTGATCAAAAATCTCTTATTAAAGAGGCATGGTTTTTCAGTTTACGACACACTGCCTTCAGTCACTGCCTCTGGCATCTGCTCCATGCTGCCTACACCGCATAGAGGACATATGTAGACACTCTGCCTGCACCAAGGAGATCTAGAGAATAATACCTAGAGAAAGTTATCATTAGCCCTCCAATAAATCTCAAAGTTAACTTCTTGGCTGTTGCATGATCCCCTGAAAGAAAGCAATTTTAAATCAGCCATCTTTGCTCATGGGCACTCAGTGCTTTTGAATGGTCATCAATGGAGAAAGACACTTTGGTTCCCATAATGCTGAAGATCTACCAAGAGAGTATGCATATGTTTACGAAAAAGTGACTCAAAAGCTACTGTAAGAAATTAAAGCGCCAGATTAAAGGTAGTTCTGGGCGATAGCAATAAGATGATAATTTTCATATTATGGCCGATAAATGACCAAGATTAAAATGCTATACTATTTTTGTCTAATTACTAAATTAAAGCTGCAGTCGGCAAGTCTGGCAGATTGAGTGGATTTAGGCAAAATTTTGAATGTTTACAACTCTCATGCCCCTCCCCCACTATCAACGAATACCCTCCCACCGAGTTCATGCTCGTCAGTGTGTGTGCACCAGATTTTCAGTGAACGCGCCCGTCTCATCAGCATCCATCAACACCATGGATTATTTGGAGGTATGCTGTCCTGGCTAATCTACCGATAGATTGCAATTGCTAACGTCATTTATACTCTAAATGAGCTTACTTGATTTTCCGCCATCACTCTTCGTTACTGCGCGAACTTCCGCGAACTTCAGGCGTGTGCATGTGATTGTAACGTGCGCGAGGGGTGGCGTGTGCCCGATCTGTGATTGACAGTCAGATCTCACACCCCCCTGCGCTGATTGGACCCGATGATCCGGGAGCTGTGGATTTTTGCAAAACAAATAACACGCTCCAGGTGGAGTTAGAAGCGCGGGTTTTTTTCTAAAACTTTGCCGACGGCAGCTTTAAGAATAAAACGTTAAAAAAAACCTAAAAATGTATAATTAAAAAGATAAAGTGAATTTAGGAATCACAAAATAATTGTAGAGCATGAAAAATCAATATTCATTTTGAGATTTACAAAAGATTACCTGATTATATTTAATTATATTATTAAATTATTAGTGTTTCTAATTATCAAGTTTTGGTGAGTGTTTGATGACAAATGAAATCTAAATGTAAAAATAGGGGAAATGAGCAGCGCAATTAAATATAGAATATTGATTGATTCTGTAAATTTAAAAATATATACATATTTATTGTGCGTCTTTTAAAAAAAAGTAACTCAAAAACTACTGTAAAGAAAGGACCAAAAGTAAAGTAAAAAAACAACAAAAAAACTTAAATTTAAAAACCCATCAAAACAAAACAAACTTAAATTGTATCTGCACAGCACTGATTTTGTTTAAGCTATACCAACATTTCAGTATTTCTAACGCTTGCTTTGATTCTGATCTACGTAAACGAAATCTCTGTAAATGTTGTTGCCTGTACAAAGCTTTTTTGGCGACGATGTGTAATTACTACATATATAAATGCACTGTTAATCCTGATTTAATGATTTAAGATTGAATGACTCTTCTTCTCTCTGTGTTTGCCAGTGGCAGTACAAACACTAGTAATTTTGACACTCTGCCTCCAACATTCGGCACATGCTGTATTGCATGTCTATGACAGCAGCACATATGTAGGAAACACTCCGATGAACATAATGTGACTGTGCTGAAACTGACTGAAGGTCTGACACCCAGGCATGTCCAAACACTGTACTGACAGAACAAAAGGTCACTGGGGACAGAGAGGCAGGCAGGGGACAGACCAGCATGAAGACTTTGTATGCAAGTGTGGCGAGTTTCACGTCCAGTATCTAAACTCATCTAATGAAGTGTGTGGAGTGGCAGCGAGGTCGTGCCGCATGGCTGCGGTTTAATTCCTTTGCATTTTCACCTTCAGACTAAAAGGAGGAGAACATTGTGATATGCAGTGGCAGAGATATGCTACTCAGTGAGGGGGGAAAGAGAGAGAGTATTTGTGCTCTTCTCCATTAATGTCCATGGGCAGATAAGACAGAAGGGAAGCGTTAATTAACATGGGCTTGAAAGAGGGACATTTATTTCCCCTGAAAAAGCTGTTCATAGTTCTCTGATCCAACATCACTGGCCTTAGATGAACTCTCTGTCCAGAACTTCATCTATGTGGAGGCCTGTACACACTTCCATCATACAAAATAACTACAGAACGGAACAGCACAGACAGAGAAGAAACACAAAAATCAATAAGAAGTGATAACAATGTACCTCCTGTCCGGAGAGGTAGTATGCAGCCAGAAGCCCTCCAATGAAGCGGATGTTGACCTCAAAGACAGAGACTTCTGCATTCTGTAGAAACAGAGGGGAAAATTAGAGGGAGTTAGGGCAAAATAGTGATTGCCCATTTTTTCAGGGTCCTTGAATCACAAAGTATTTTTCCCACAAGTATTTCAAAAAAATATTCGATAAATAGACTAAATGAAACCAACCAGCTCAGAAATAATTCATAAACTTTCATTTCGGGGAAATTATAACAATAAAAACCTTCAAAAAGACATGACTGCATATTTTACTTATCTTTAATAAGGCATCCTTTGAACCATTGCAAATGAAATCAAATATCAAATAAAACAATGACAATATAAAACTTGACATCAGAACAATATAAAACTAAATCTTAAAAGTCAAATATACTACCTTTTGAAAGTTTGATGTCGGTAAGATTTTATGGTTTTGAAAGTCGCTATTTGAATATATTTTAAAATGTAATGAATTTATGTGATGGCAAAGCTGAATTTTCAGCATCATTACATTATTCAGTGTCACATGATCCTTCAGAAATCATTCTAATATGGTACTCATAAACATTTCTTATCAATGTTGAAAACAGTTGTGCTGCTTAATCTTTTTGTGGAAACGTGACTTTTTTCAGGATTCTTTGATAAATAGTACGTTGAAAAGAACAGTATTTATTTTGAAGTATAAATATTTTGTAACATCATATATGCCTTTACTGTCACTTTTGATCAATTGAATGCCTCCTTGTTGAATAAAATTCAATTATAAAAAAATACAATATATTTGTGCAAAAATAGTGCCAAATATTCAAATATTTCATCAGTTTGAGATAAGAATACGCTAGTATTTTTAAAAACAATCTTTCTGGAGAAAATGAATGTGATTTTTACTTCCAGAAGCCACCTACTATACATGATAATTTAAACAAACATATAAGCAGCTTCATTAATCTGCATGAATTATCTACTATACACAACAGCCATGCAGCACTATCAAATGAACTTCAATTCTACATTAAAGCTGATTCAATAATCTCTCAGTGAGACGGAAATGAATGCTGGAGCATATAGCGTTTCAACCTATATTTAGAGAAAATTACCATGAAGCAGCTTTTTTCATTCACACACAGATCGCACCGCAAACAGCAACTAATCTCACACACACACTCTAAGTCTAGTATAACAAAATAACATTCACCCAATGCAAAAAAAAAATCTAAACACAGTGAGGTTCAATGGCATGGTTGTACAAACTCCAAAAATCCTGTTTTAGCCATCTCACAATCCCATAATCCACAGCACCCAAATTAATACAGCACCTGTTTTTGTATCCTGCTTATGAAATACAAGCAGGTTTTCTAGTTCGTAACATAACGCTTCTAAAGCATCTTATATTGACTAGGTTTTACACTAATTTGATAAGACAAGAACATGCTTTAACCAACCCTTTCACTTAGCATTCATTTAGCATGTCTATTAATTTTGACAAAAATGAACGTGCGCCAGATTAATTCAGATATGACCGTTCCCTGACCAAGGTCCATTAATTTAGTTTTTGGTTTAACAGCTGCAATTAATGCTGATGGCAGACAGCCTCATCCATCACCACAAGAGAAGCAGAGAGAGGGAGAGAGAGAGACATGCATTTCTTTCTTCTGTGGAACACAAAAGTATTTTTTTTTTAATGTACATATAATGAAATTCAATGGGGTCCAATCATTGTATGATTTTCATTGATATACAAAAACCACTGAAACAGTCTAGAACGACATCAGGGTGAGAAAATGTTCTCTTCATTTTTTTTCCCTTCGTTTTTGGGTGAACTATTCATTTAATTATAAAATGGACAACACTTTATAATAAGACCCAATTGATTGAAATAATTAATTTAAACTTATTACATAAATTCACAAATAATACATTAGGTATCATGAACTAACAATAAACAGTAAATTTTTTTAGTAATAATATGATATTGTGAAATATTTTTAAAACAATTGTTTTCTATGTTAAGATATTTTCAAATGTAATTGTAAAAGCTGAATTTTCAGCATCATTACTTTAGTCTTCAGTGTCACATGATCCTTCAGAAATCATTATAATATGCTGATTTGCTGCTCAAGAAACATTTAAATACTACTATCAATGTTGAAAATGGTTGTACTGCTTAATATTTTTGTAGAACCAATATTTCCCTGTTTCCCTTCCTCGCCCATGCTTTGCAGTTTATTCCCCTCCTCCAAAAAAAATCCTTCCAGCACCTCCATCCCACTGTGACACGCTGAGCCCTCAACGGCCAGACCCAACGGTCCAAGCGTGAGTCATTCCTCAAAGTGCACATGCTTCATAAGATACACTTATCCAAAAGTAACAGTGAGGAGGGGTGAGAGAAGAAATGAGGCCACTGCTCGAAAAGCCAAAAAGATGAACTAAACACCCCGAGGAGATTTCATGCGCTGTAAGTCCTGCTAAGAGATAGACGGGAGAAAAATGACAACACATGGAGACCAGAGAGATTGATAAAGTTGAGAAGAGCATACAGATTCTCCATATCTGATGAAGAAGAGGCCGGAAAAACAACTGATAGGGAGAGAAACTGGAGAAATCCCATTAATGGGTTAGAATGTGAATGCAGACAGAGAAAGAGCAGGAGACACAGGGCCCCTGGGGGCAGTCAATGGCCCCGCTCCTTCTCTGACGTCTCTTTTGTCTGCCATTTTTTTTCTCAACATCACCAGCTAATTCTGGAGGCAGAGCTCTGGAGGCTCGCATTGTTTCCATGGCGCCAGTCTTGTCTCCTGGATACGGTGATGTGTCACATCAACTCTTTTCTCGCCACATGTTTTTCACAAAGTGCCACCACAATCTGATCAAAACCTGAAAGATTCACACACGCTGAGGACTGAAGTCTTTGAGGAGTTATGGGGTGTCGAACGACTGTTAATACAGCTGTGTCAGTCTGCTGCCAAAGTATACGGCTCACCACTGTGAAATAACAGTGTCCTGAGATATCACTGTGTCTATAAACAAAAACAGATTCGCTTTGTCCCAAACCTACAAAGACAAGTGCTGTTGGTGATCTTGGTTGTGTGTTCATGTCCGAGTCTTGGCCACTTACCACACTGAAATCCAGGTTTTGCTCGATCCACTCCTGGCCGTCCTTAAACTCGTTGTGGAGGCCCATTATGTAAAGGGTATCCAGGGCGTCTACTATAGTGGCTCCCATCTGGGAATTACCTGCGAAGAAGAGGATGTGAAATATTTACTGAATACATATGCACCACACTAATTAAATGTAAACAAACTTAAAGTTACATAATAAGGCCCATCTGATGCAAGCAATATTCATTTGCATTAGTGTGAAGCTAAAGGCAGAGCATGTTGAGGAAAAACAAACCAGTGGATAGATACACTACCATTAAAAACAAGGGGTCAGTAAGATTTTTTTTTTTTTAAGAAATTAATCATTTCATTCAGCAAGAATGCATTAAATTGGATCAAAATCACATAAAGACATATTTAGGGTAATTTCTGTGTACACTCAACCAGAGGTCCCCAGCTAAAAATTGAGATCATTTTTTGTCTGGTGACAAAAATACATAAAAATGAAGTAGAAAGCCAAAATATTAAATGTCATGGATGAATATTTACTGAGTAATACACAGTTTTGTAGAGGGGGGTCAAAATGACAACCCTGAGGTTTGGAGTCAGATTACAGAGGAGTAAAAATTACTTTAGAAAGATTGCACCATCATTATTTTAGACGGGCTCCAAACCTCAGGAGAAAATTGTCATTTTGACCCCCCTCTACAAAACTGGATTATTCAGTAAATATTCATCCATGACATTAAAGGCTTAGTTCACCCAAAAATGAAAATTATGTCATTAATGACTCACCCTCATGTCGTTCCAAGCCCGTAAGACCTCCGTTCATCTTCGGAACACAGTTTAAGATATTTTAGATATCTTAGATAACCGGAAGAAAATACAATGCTGAATAAAGTAATAGTTTTTGTTATTTTTGGACCAAAATGTATTTTCGATGCTTCAAAACATTCTAACTAACCCACTGATGTCACATGGACTACTTTGATGATGTCTTTATTTCCTTTCTGGACAAGGACAGTATACCGTACATACATTTTCAATGGAGGGACAGGAAACTCTCGGACTAAATCTAAAATATCTTAAACTGTGTTCTGAAGATGAACGGAGGTCTTACGGGCTTGGAACGACATGAGGGTGAGTCATTAATGACAGTGATTTTTGGGTGAACTAACCCTTTAATATTTTGGCTTTTATCACAATTGATCTGTCTGTCTTCAGAAAAAAAATATTAACAAAATCAGAAATTTAAGCTGGGGATGTTTCCGAAATTTGGTTGATTTGACATGGAATAACCATATAATGTTACAAAAGATTTCCATTTAAAATAAATGTTGTTCATTGAGCTTTCTATTCATAAAACAATCCTGAAAAAAATGATCACTGTTACTCCAAAATAAGCAGCACAACTGTTTTCAACACTAATGTACTGATTTGCTTCTCAAGAAACGTTTCTTATTATCAGAGTGATTTCTGAAGAATCATGGGACACTGAAGACTGGAGTAATGATGCTGAAAATTAAGCTTTGACATCACAAGAATAAATCACATTTTAAAGTATATTAAAATATATTAAATATAAAACAGTTTATTTTTAAATTGTAATAATATTTCACAATATTACTGTTTTTACTGCATTTTGATCTAATAAATGCAGCATTGGTGAGACATTGGTGAGACTTGATCAAAATCTCCCCAAACGTTTTGAATGGTAATGTACACTTTTTATTTCCAGAGGACATTAGAGGAATAATTATGATTGTATAAGGTAAAAGACTGAAATTTAAGTTCCTATGGACACATTAGGTGTGTTTGACTTAAAGTGCCCCTATTGTGGATTTAGGAAAACGACCTTTCATATAGGGTGTAACATAGCTCTAAGTGAATGAAAACATCCTGCAAAGTTTTAAATCTGAAAGGACACTGTGGACACTGGATAGCATCATGTCGAGAAGACGATGTGCTCTACAATGTGAAGGTAAAGACCCACTGCCCAAGGACGAGCATGTGAAGAATCAGTGGTGAAAATTCATCTTTACCATGATACCACAGCAGTATAATCCTAAACTTTTGCTGTTCCCTTCATTTTACTGACAAATGCAGGATTCGCAAACCGCTTGCTCTTGAAAGATGGTGTTCAAAATACTTAGTTTTGTGTTTTATATTGTGTACAGTAGGTCTCCTGCTAACTCACATTATTACTGTCTTACTGAAATACTTCTGCTAATCAGTTGTGGGCCACTATTACCTAAAACTGTGTCTATTAATGCAGATTGTCCGTCGTTCTCACTACTTTGAGTCTTTGAGAAAAGATTAAGCATGGAGCAAGATTTGTTTTACCAACGGTTATGTTACATCAGTAATTCACGCTAGAGCTCGGCTAATGCATGCACTGTTATTGATAGTTTCCACAAGTTCACCACAATAAATTAGAAAAATACTCTGTAAATAAATGAGTAACGTTATAAGTAAAATATTCGGTTTGTTGATGGACATGCACTTGTTAATGCTGATGGTGAGGAATTACAGTTGCAACATCGCATAATGTACCTCAAATTGAGTAGTGTATCACTGAGAAACGTTCTGCTCGAGTCGTCCTTACGATGGAAGTTCGGGTTGAATAACTAGTTCTTCCAGTGTTTCATGATCGGACTCGCGCTCAGATTGATATGGTAAAATCAACGTCATTGTTCGTTACTGTGTTTAGTTTACGGTGTAGGAAGCCTCAGGACACGCAGAGCTGACGTTATGGCAATGGGCGTTTTTGTTTTCGACGCGCGCTGTACATGGTAGACCAATCACAACAGAATGAGCTGTCTGACCAATCAGAGCAGAGTAGCTCACGGAAAGGAGGGATTTAGAGAAATTGATTCATCTGACGAGTTGTTTGAGAATCACTGAAAAATGTGGTAATGTGCAATATATTATGAGAAAATTAAACCTTCTCTTTTTGACCTTTAATGCATGTAAACCTGTTGTAGGAGACTCCAAAACAACATTAGGAAACTTTAAAATAGCATAATAGGGGCACGTTAAAGCGCCGCTGCGCAGACCAATCGGTGTATGACACCAATAATCTTCCCTTCTAGTCAGTTGTTAACCCCTGCGAATGGATAATTGATCCATTTCTTGAGTTCAAATCACTGTCTTAGTCTGATTTGTGAACTGGACAAACTTCTTCATTTGAAAAGATCTAATTCAAATGAAGGATTCAGACATCCCTAGTATGAAGGAGAGCTAGAGCAGATCTCAAGATTTAGCAGAAACTTTACATTGTATTTCTGTTTTAATATTTTAATATAATCCGTGGAAAGCCCCTGTAAAACTATCCCGTCCTGGTAAAGAGCTCCGTTTAAAGTTCAAGATCAGATTTCAGCAATCCTGTTATTCCACAAATAAAACTATTTCAAGAGTGGAAAACTGTTGAGACATGCTGTGTGGCATCTCTCTCTCTCTCACTCTCAGTCTGTAGAACCGCAGTGTTATCATCATCATTATTGTCAGGAACTCTAAATCACTCTAAAAATACCCAGCAGCCCTCAGCCTCTTAGCTCTTCTAATCTGTCCAGACTCCTGCTTCAGTTTGTCCAGAGGCACCCCAAATGGACCCAGCCCTTCAAAAACCACATAAACACTTTTCATCCCTCTTTTTACAAGACTTAAAGCCCTGTCCTCTTAGGTCATTTAAGACTATACTTAAATTTACTGCCTTCCTCTTTATCGCCCTTTCCATTTTATTTTCAGTGTTTTTCTACACCTTTTCATTTCACTATGGAACCATCACCAAAGATGTATCACTCCCTCATTTGCAAGTTCACCAATATAACTCAAATAAAATCAAAGAAAATTAATCAAAGAAAACAAAAAGGTTGTACCCTGGAAATCCAGAGTTCTCGCGAGAGCACAATTTGAATTTGCTCAGCGAGTCACTCTGGCATCGAGTAAGGATGCTCATTAACTATGCCCTTTAGGGGTGCAACAGATCAAAAAACTCACGGTTCGGATTGTTTCTCAGATCAGAGTCACGGATCGGATCATTTTTCGGATCAGCAAAAAAGACAAGACAAATAAACATAAGTTTTGTCTTTTAAATTATTAAATTAAAATATAAAAAATCAACTTAAAGTGCACAAGGCAATATCTTATTTTTAGAGATATTAGGGGGGGGTTGACTGGTTGACTTACCGAAACAGGCCAATCAGGATGCTCTCTGTCTTACAATTCAGCGCTACTCCGGACTGTCCGGCCAAAATTCGGACGTATGGCCACTCTACTACACACACTGTCACGGTTTTATCCACTAACCTCTTTCCTTCATCATTATATTTGACAGGGAAGCCAAAATGCTCCCATACAGGGGATTTAAATGACGCGGGGCGTTCAAGCTCCTCCGTTCCTCCGCTCGCCATGACCACGCTGTGGAGATGTGTGTGGACTGAACATGCGTACGATTTTTTTTTTTTTCATAAATCAATCCGCGGATCACGTGTGTGCCGAACCGAAGATAATGATCCGAACGGATCACGGATCAATGATGATCTGTTGCACCACTAATGCCCTTGTAGCCGAGCTGCACCAATCACATCGGTGTATCTGATATAGGCGGGCCAGAGGCGAGCTAAACAGATGACGACAGCGCTGCGACGTCGAAGTCATTAGTAAACATTGCAAGATGGCTATGGATGAACACCAGTTGTTTGAAACGGCTTTGGCCGCTACAATGAACGAGTTAGACTTGGCTTTTTATCTAAAAGAGGAACAGACGACGGCGCTCGACGTTCCTTTGCAAGAAGGAATTTTCTGCTGCTTTGCCGACCGGATACGGCAAGAGTCTAATCTACCAGTTAGCTCCGCTGGTAGCTAAGCGTATGGGGTGTATTGTTGTGACTGGTCATATTTTTATCCAATTGCGTGCAGTGAGATTTTCAAATGCATGCTTGGTGCCGCCCCTCAAGTTGGACGATTTTCATTACTCAATGCCAGACCCTTAATCTTTCGGATTTGGGTCTGGATTTCCAGGCTAAAAAGGTTGCAAAAAAAATTGATATAACCCAAGACCCACTGAACTGACGGCACATTCATCCCTCACCACCTCATTTACACTCCCATAAATACACTGCCCATCTTGACTA